AAGCTCGTAAAAATCGGTTCTTTAACAACAACTTTTCGCTGCTTTGAAGTCCATCCATTAACAAAACTTGTGATGATTTTGGCTCCGTTGCAGCTGTGCTATTACTCCATCCCTCAAAAACACCCAGTCGGAGAAGATGAGGAAGAGGAAGAGGATGAGGATGAGAGGGAGGAGAGAGGAAAAGAACTTAAAAAGCCACGTAATCTAAAAACAAATATAAAATTTAATTAAAGTTGACAAACTCATTTAAAATTTACCGCCTCATTTGCCACGTCATTTTCCATAGGTACCATTTTGAACTATTTTTTAAATTTCAGTGACTAAAAATATCTATTTTAAAACCTCAGAAACTAAATAGACACTCAATTCAAACTTTAGAGACCAAAATCGTATTTTTTTCCTATTTTTAATTATAATTAATAAGAATTGTGAAACGTTTGTAACTATTTTATATAAAGATTTCTTTTGCAATCGTCGCCACCGTGCGAGAGGGACAGTCCGATGTCGCGACCGTCGTGTGAGAGAGAGGAAGAGAGACCTCTGGATGGAGATGGTGGTTTTGTTTGTGATGAAAGGTTAGAGCAATGCATTTTAAACATCGACCCGTACCGACTTTCACTATAACCAAACCGAACTCGATTCGGATCGATTCATCGGATCAGTTCGGGCACTTACACCAGTAGTTTCTTTACTTATTCGGTTGTTTTTCTCAATATTTTGTATTTTCTTATATTTTTGTTATATTTCAACTTTTAGTTTTTATTTAAAATGCAATAATAATAATTTTTCGATTGTTTTTCTCACTCTTTTGTGTTTTCTTATATATTAGTTATATTTCAACTTTTAGTTTTTATTGAAGATGCAATATTAATAATTTAAAAAAGACTTAGATTATGTACCATGTTCAAAAAGTTCAAAGATTATATATTTGTTTTTTTATTCACTTTTTTCGTGGCTCAAATAAGAAATCAAAGTCAATTTTGTTTTATATTTTGTTTTTTTTATGCATTGTTATATTTAAGAGTAAAAAAAAGTGAAAAATATATGAATATGTTAAGTTATTTATGTTTACCCGTTGTATTTTATTTATGAAAATTTTGAATAATTTGTTGCATTTCAATTTTTTCAGTCACACCGAAACTTCGATTTTGTGAGATAAATATGGAGAAAAAAAATTGGTTTGATAAACGTGGCGAGAAAAAAGAGTCAAATTATATTAAAAATTTTAACTATTTAATTAATTTTTATGTTTTTAAACTATAAAATAAAATTATGAAACGAAGAAAAGAATGGAAAAAAACCAGTCTTCCCTTCGCTTCCCTTCTCTCTCCCTCCCCAGCCGTCAGGCGACGATCGACGGAACTCCAGAGGCCTTCAGGCGACGATCGACGGCGCAACTCCAGCAAGA